CAAAAAAGCTATTTGCAACACTTTACCGTTAGCGCTGCCTGTCACTCGACGCTGCTCCATTCTATATGTACATATTTTTTTTCTCCATCTGCACCCACGTTGCTAACTTCTTAGATGGCCACCGTTGGCGGCGTTGCTTGTCCTGTGCAATCAGTCAAAATGCGGCGCAACATATGCGTGATGGGGAGGAAGAGGGGGGTGGCTCGTTGCATGGGCGTGGCATTTGCCAGGTAACAGCGCGCAGCACAGCAAAAAGGATGACAAATGAAATGTTCAAGTGGCGCTTAAAGCAACAAAAACCAAAACAAAACCAAAAACGAAAGGACAAATACAAAAAAGAGAATTTTACTCTATTCTTGGGCGAGTTGCTCAGTTTCGCGTTGCCGTAAATCTGACAAAGTGCCTCAGCTTACGAGCAGTTCGCTGTGGGGCATGTAAAATGAAGCCCAAGGACCCGGTAACACTCAACCAACCAGTGAAAAAAAGGCGTTGAAAACTTGACTTTGTCAGCTGGCAGCTTCATGCTTAAAAATGTACGCACCGGAGACTCCGCCTTGTGTGTATGTGTGTGTGTGTGTGTGTGCGGGGGTGGGGGTGGAGTAAAGGCTATGCTCAAATATTTAACTTAAGTAAGCGTTTGTAATTAATTTTATCCTTAATGCTGACACTTTCTTGCGCCTCGCAACACTTTTTCCGGCTTCTTTCGCTCTCTCTCAGTCAATTTCGCCCCATCTTAGTTTCTGTTGCCTTGCTCACGGTTATGGCATAATGAACACGCATTTTAAAATAAAGTCTCCCTGATTTTATTGTGTGCGTGTGCTGTTGCCATGTCGAGCTCGCAGTTGGTAGTTTGTCTGGGACCAGCGGCATGGCGACACACAAAAAAAAAAAAATTACTGCATAATTTATGTGTCAAGAGTTTGCGGCTACGTTTTTTGGGGGTGTAATTGATGTTGCCACCCCGCAATTAACTCCCGCCTGCCAAAGATTTATTCTCTGGGGTTGCCCGACGCGTGTTTTATGACGCGTCTTCCCTAAAAGCGCTCTCAATTACACGCAATTAACTGTGACAATTACGGGCCAAAAGCCCTGCAAAATATTTACGAATATCGCGCATACGTCATGTGAGACTCAGCGAAGCGAGTTGCAAAAGAATACAAAATATTGCGCAAACGCAGCGTATATATATATACAATTAATGTTATTACAGCTTAGCCAAATGTTTGGGAAACGGAAAAGCGGGGCAGCCCGCTGTTTTACTCACGCTCAATCAATCGCTTGCTTAGATAAGATTAAGATTTTGTGAACTGCAGCTGATTTTTAAAAATGTCGCGCATAGGCCAATCATATGAGTAAAGTAAGCAACAAATATAAACTAGCTCTAAAAATAATTTAATAAGCAGATTTTGATTGTATCACAATTCAGAATTTTTCTTTCTTTGAATTCTTCATATTATTATGAATGATTATTGTTGATTTTTGTAGCGATCCATCTTTAGGTCATCAGAAAGATATGTCAATCTAAAGTGCACATTGTATAAACATGTTTATCTGTTTCTGTCGTAATTCTTTGTTTCGACTTCTCAAATATCTATAGGCATGTACATATTTTGTCTACCCCAAAGCCACCACGGCAAATAAGCGAATATGTGTCTGCCAAAAGCAAAAATCAAAACTTTTAAAATGATGGTCTCTGTGAAAGATGAGAAAGGGATGATGAAACTGGACGGTATGTTTGCCACGTCCATTTCTGCCCTCGCTATCGTCAAAGCTCCCTTCTGATTTAAGCTGCTTTTGCACCGGGAACAAAGAATCTAGTCACCATTCAAATCACTCCCAAATATTATATACTCTTTATGGCTTTCATGCTTTGAAACCGTACAATTTTAATCAGCATTTATATTTACAATATTTTTCTTGACGTTGTCAATCAATAAAAGAAATATATATATTACGCAGATTCCACTCGAAAATTTGCTCGAATGTACGAAATTCGTCGTAACAGACCGTCAACTCAAATAGCACTAAGCACCTTAAAGATATTTTACAAAAAGGAAGCCTGCACCAAGTACCATCCACAAAATGTGGCTGCCTAGCAACGCAGCTGGCGAAAATAAATAAAATAAAAAAAATAGCAATAGAAATGGCAACTAAAAACTTACAAGTGGTATATCAACACTTCAAAGTCCACTTGACAGTTTTTTCTGCTCTTTGAAACTTGGAATACTCGCTACTCCCTTAATCTTCAGCTATTTATAACCGGCAACAGCCATTTTTTAATGCTCGACGTGTATATGTTATTACTAAAAACCAATATAAACAGAACAACGAATTCCAGGCAATTTTGCTTAGCTAAAAGATACCCTGTATATGCTTGAAGCATATTAAAGTGGTTTGAACTCAATTAAATTTTAAATCATTTAAAGATAATTATTTCAGTTTGCGGAATATTATCAAAATTAAAGCAAGTCAAACTATTATCGATAAATGTCGGCCCCAAGGGAAATGTGGTGGGGAGTTTACGTACGTGTGACTGTTCCAGTGCGTCACGTATTCGAATCACTTGCTTGGGGTCAAACGTATGACATTCTTTTCCTCATTTCATGCCAAAGCCTTAGCCAAACTCATTGATAGTATACATACCCATGTAAAATGTTTGAAAGAAGCAGAAGCAAGCCTATCCGAACGGATCGGGACATGCCTGTTGATATAGCATCATTAATAACTAACATTTTAGTATGATTCGTTTTTAATACCCTATGCGGTGGAAAAGTGTAGAGGAGAATATTAAAAACAAGTAAAGCAATCCTGATATTATTAGGCATACTTTTATTTATAAATCTTTTTCACCTAACAGATTGACTGATTCATTTAGTGCTTGATTGATTAGTTATCTTGAGTGATGTAAGCGCCAACTTAGTCGTGTAAAACTTCTTTATCTTTAGATGAAAGAAAAAAAAAACAAGCAAATTTAAAAATCAGAAGCTTTAAAGAGATGTTGAAAGGGAACGTTATTCAAAACTTTATTATTAAATATTCGTGGAATCCTTTTTTTGTCTTTCCACTCAATTGTATAGCTTAAATTACAGCCTATAACACAGTCGAGCACTCTCGACTAGAGCTTTATTCTTCTCTTTGTTCTGTTACTGCAGCTGCAAATATTCCTCTGTTGTAACATGTCAATCCATGCCCATTTTAGCCAGACCCCTTGTGGTTGGTTATTGGACGGCTTGGGGTTTGGGGCCGTATTATGCGTTCGACTAGCATGAGTTTCGCATATTTTACACGCTTCGTCAATTTACAGCGCATATTGATCATATTTATAAGTCTATTGGTATGGCAAGCATAAATCGCGGCAATCTATAAGCTACAAGGCGACTTACAGATGCCCTAATCTCGTTATTTATTTATCGAATTAATAATAATATTTTAGTAGATAGAATATAATGATTATAAAATGATTAATTAATTGTTCTTGTGGTATATGATATGAGAATAAAATTGTTTGGAATCCATATACCCTATTTTTGCTTGCGATTAGTTATGTACAAACTGGCAAAGAATTGTGGTTTCGCCAATAACTGCGATAATAAAAACCAAGCGCTATGGTTGACAAACACAATATTGGAAAGTCTGACATTTCCTTGATTTTGTCACATAAAGCTGTGTGTGTGTGTGTCTGCATAATGCATGATGCATTGGCATATTGGAAAATATCAAAAAAAAAATAATAATAATAGAGGTCCCTTGGATTTTTGATATCGCGTCGGTTTCTTGTTGCAGTCGTAATTTGCTTTGAATGTCGTTGGGTTTATTAACTTCTTTGAGCTGACATGTTTAATTAATTGCTGGTCTGCAATTAGCATACTGAGTGCAGACAGTCAGCCACAATATGACAGAGGCAGCAGCAGCAAATTGAAATTTCTGAAAATACGCATATGCAGCTAGGCAAATGAAATATTGTATGGAATGTTTGCTGACTGCCAGGCAAAATGAAACAATTAGCAAGATGTGTGCCTTATCGTCAGGCCAGACACTTACACAGTTTGCTTAACGGCAAAACAAATTAAAATCTGAGAGATGCACAGAACCAACAATCCCACCAGCCGAACCCACGCCCTGGACCGTGACTTGTTGGCCTTTTACTGCTGACCGCAAGGTACACGTTCAGATGCTGGCCAGATGCAGCCACGTTTTGGCCATTCTGCCTGCCTTAAATATTTATGCAATTTATTTTTGTCTAAACTAATAAGTTGTTGTTGTAGTGCAGCTTGTTTTATCTCATAATGAAATACAACACAGTTTGCATAAGTATATAAATATGTATGTGTGTGCGTGTGTGTGAGTGTGTGTGAGTGTGCGTACGTGTGCTTGGCTTGCATTTTGATATTTGCGCCTGCATGTGGGCAACGATTTATTTGCTCTAGACTTTGTGGCAGCCAAGATGTTAACATATTCATTGAATCCGAATTAGTTTTGAGCTCTGCTCCTCATATTTTGTACAACATTTTGAGTTATGAGCCAGGGCTGAACCCTAAGGACTGACCTAATGGCCTCACTTGCTTAATTGTTAAAACGTAGCTTCTGCATTTTTGTAATTTAAACTTTAGTTTACAATATGCAAACAACTTGAGGATGATAAAGCAAATCTATCTAAACAATTTACGATTGCGCATACTTATGGCTTACCTGGAAAATCCGTTTACTGCTAAAATGTACATTTTACTTTATTTTAATTTAATTTTGATTTTATTTTAATAAGTAATAATATTTGAAACTAAGCCGATTACTTTCAAAATTCTTTTAAAAATATTAATATTTCTGTAATAATGTATATTAATAGACATTTGTAAACTTATTTTAAAACAGCTTCTCTGTAATCTATTTGCCCCAGTAAAATCAAATTTATGTTAAATAAAGTAGGCAAAATGCGTTTTAGAATTTGTATTTAAATATTTATTTAACATATTTCAATTAAAATGTTTGTATATCACTATAAATTTGAATGATATGTTTTTCTTATTTATTTTTTCAATATTCTTCTCTTGAGAGTATTTAAATAACATTGTAATTTTTAAACATATTTCAATACTTATATCTATATACACTAGATTGCCTATTGTATCTATTTGTTCAAACACTATGTTCTCTTTTTAAAGACCACTCTATTTAAATTATCTTTGGAGGCCACTCCAACCGGTAAGCAGGGTATTCCATCCCCATGCTCCCAGCTGAGCATCAATCCAATTTCTGAATGCGGCCACATTGGTATATACACCCGGAAACTCTTGCTGTGCACAGCCCAAGCCCCAGGATACAATGCCATAGAGCTTGCCTTGAGCACTGTCCTGCTGATAGCCGACGAGTGGACCACCAGAGTCACCTTGGCAACTATCATGGCCTTCCCGGGCGGCACACAGCATGCGCTGGGTAACGGGCAGCACCTTGCGATATGCGCGGCGACAAATACCCGGCTCCACATGGGCCACATCCACGTATCGCAACACGGCTGAGACGCCCTCCTCACCGCCCTCGCTCTGATAGCCCCAGCCGCTGACGTAGAGCCGCGTATCGGGCGTAAGTACATCCTCTGCGCTAGCCAGTGGCACCGCTTGCAGCTCCTCCGTGTAGTTAAGTCGTCCATTGAGCAGCAGCAGCGCCAAGTCATTATCGTGCGTCTGGCTATTGTAGGCTCCATGGCGTATGATTCGACGCAGACTAAGCAACTCGCCGCCAGCCGCGTGCTCTGTGGCACCCAAACGTACGCTATAATCGAGCTCAACCCATGGCTCCTCAAAGCAATGGGCAGCGGTAAGTATAAAGTAATCCCCGATAATGGCACCGCCACAAATATGCTGACCATGCAGCTGTATGGAAGCTTGGTATGGAAAATCAAGTATATCCGTCACCTGGCCGCCCACAATGCGACCATCATATTGAGGCGTGGCACTGCTGCCCGCAGCAAGCACTAAAATCCACAGAAATGTCACCAGACTCATCTTTTTGCTATGAAGCGTTTTGTAACTGTGTCTACCTGCAAATCATTTTCATTGCCTTTATAGACCGGAGCAGGTTTTTTTTTATCAATTACCTTATCTGCGTGTCAACAAACTTCGGCCGAAAAAAAAAACACAGTTTGCCAATATTTCAAGTTCAGCGCCGTCTTATCAAAAACTATTTGCTTTTACTCATTTCTCTGGCACTGTTGTCTGGCGTTGACCCAATAACCTTCGAGTGGCCAGGGCCAGTACTTATCGTTTTCTGTATAGTTAAAAATGCATTCAGAAAATATTTAAAAATTTAAATATTTGCTTATAAGATTATAGAAGCAGGTGCAGTTTGCATTTCAAGTGTGATATCATTTATCATAAATAACATGTGATTTTAGCTTTTTAATAAAATTGTTGGTACTAAACAGATTTGTATTGTAATTATTATATTATACTATTATTTATATTATCATTATTATATATTTATTATTATTCTTATTATTAATTTTAAAATATTGTTTTTATATCAATATAATTATTATTATTAGTATATTATTTTTGAATGAACTTGTTCTTATCAGCTAATGAGTAAAAATGTGATTAATTTAATAGGTAATTTAAAAAAGGTTTTTATACACTGCACTCAATACGGTAGCCTTTCCCCACATGTATTTATGGACTAAGAGAGGCGACCATGTGTGTGTTTATTTGTTTGTGTAAGCATATACAGGCACCAGAAAAGGCATAGGTTATATAAAACCGGCGAAATGGTGAGTTCGACTTGCTCACAACTCTACCGTAAGAATATGGCTTGAAGCACCAAAAATTTATGCATTGATTTAAAATCGAAAAAAAAAATCAGTTACTACATTTAATAAAATTTAACTTACATTAATTAAATTTTTTTTTAGTTTTATTTTAATTTAAACTACTACTTAGATATTAACTGATTACAATAATATATGAATTATGTATATATTCATATAAAAAGTTGGGTAAATAATGAATGTGTGGTTTCTTATCAAATTTTATAGCATACTTTCCGGCTGTGGCTGTGCATAATTGTAGTGGCTTCTTCGGCAGCTTGTTTATATTATAATTGGAATAAATCAATTGATGGCCACAAAAACCGCAACAGAGCCAGGCATACACGAAAAGTTGCCCAGCCATTTATGTATGTCAGTCAGTCATTTAGTCAGTTTTATCCGAACAATTGCCAACAATGCTGGCGCTGCTGTTGCCTTCTGCGGTTTTCACACTGTTTTTTGGCAGCTCACACACTTTTGGCCAAACATTTGACCGACTCGCAGTTATCTGGCGTTATTTCAATTTGTTTGGCTTTCGCACCGATTCTTTATTTTGGCTTATCGCCCGTAACAAGCCAACAAGCCGCAGCCCGCAGGCATCCTTCGGAGAGCGGTTCACTGAACCCCAACCAGAGACCAATTCCAGCGGCAAACTGCAGTTGACAGTCTCAATTATCGATATTGACGCGACTAAGCCTTTCTCAGCGCATTATAGGCCACAAATTGAAATGGCTTTCGATCCATCCATAATCTCAATATTCGGCTAATCGGCACACAACAAGCCAATAAATTGTGTTGGCTTAAAAATGCCGTAGGCGTTGGCAGCCCTTGAAATGCCTGCAAAATAACACGCCTATAAATAAGCATAACTGTCAGAATAACAAAAACACCAAATTGACACAACAACAACAGCAACAACAACAATATCGACGACAACAACAACAACAGACTTAGCCAGGGCTTAGTGAAAGTCTATGCCAAGTATTAGCACATTTTTACGTAACACTGGCGCGGTGGGCGTGGCACACAGACAAACAGACAGCTCTTTGCATTTTTGTTGTTTATGCCGTGTGAACTTTAGCTCTCAAAGTTTTCCAGCGGACGCCTTAACCTTTTGCCAACATGAAAATTTTTGCAATCTTCCAACTGTCACAAACACGAAATTTGACTTTTGACACGATCCACACAACTTTCGCAGCGTTTTATTTAAATTTTTCCTTGCAATTTTCATGCATAATCTAAGGCATACATTTCAAAATTGTAGATATGTTATCGTTGAGCACATATTGAAAATTTAAATCCCCGCATAACCTTTTAAAAGCCAACCGCCTCAATTTTTAGTGTTGTAAAGCAATAAATAAACAAAATTATGCTAGTCACACTTCGGTTAAAGCAGAAAGTGCGAGATGACGACAATTAGTAAAATTAATTATAATAAGAAAATATTAAAATAAAGATATTAAATATGAAAAATTGGAAAACGGATAATAACAAGTTATATGTAAAAGTAGTAAAGTAGAAATCACTGACTGAAGTAATGGAACAAAATAACAACATTCTTCTGAGGAAAACTTGAACTCAAGAAATGTGGTTAAACTATTTAAGAAGGTATATTTTTTGGAAACCAAGGTTGGGTCAAGTGCAATAGGCATCGCGTCCTTCTAAAACGATTTTGCCCCATTATATTATTATAGTAAATCAACTAAAAAAAGAAAAACAAATAATAATATTTTATTATTATATTTAATATTTGAAGAAAATCAAACAATAATATAAAAAATTTACTATTCTTGTAAGTAGTAAAAATTTTACCCTTTTGAGGTCAGCTTTGCGTTACTGTGGGATTGCACATTTTTTTAATTATCTCTGAACGGCATCACAAACTTCGGATGTACCATGACCACAGTCTTATACTGGGTTATTTTAATACGTCTGTGTCTTCGCAAGTAAGAGCTCTTGGATAATTACAAATAGCCCATTTAAATTTACTGAAAAGAAACAAAAGATCAGAAAGCCTTTGATGATTCTGACATATAAGACGTCTTCTTCCCTTCATTAATGAAAATTTCATTACTGCAGAGTCCCCTGTCAATAAGATGCCTAAAAAATAAGTATTGCAATTGCTTTCACCAGGCAGAATAAGTTAACTTCAACCCTGAGAATTTGAAGTATAAATCAATTTGCCGCCTAATTTGCAAGTGTCCCGAACACTCCTACTCTCAACAAAATTATTTTGTATTTCTTGTTTTGCCAATTCGCTCTGATTTTCATTGTGAGCTACCTTCAATTGATAGACAGTAATTTACAAATGGACTAAAATACAATAGATTAAAGCAGACGCAGAAGCCACTGCGAGTAGGACGTAAAGCCGAATGCAGTTCCTTGCAGAACTCCGATTTCTATATGCAACATGCAAGAGGCACGATGCTCATTGCGCACTAAACACGTCTCGATGTGTTTTCGAGTTTTGTAACTCATTTGCAACTAAACTGAGTTCATTAAAGTTAATTTGAACGTGCAACATTGGCGTGCCACACACACACACACAACGCAGCGCGCAACGAAGCAACAAAGTGCGGGGAGGTAGCCGTGCAGAGATGTCATCCTGGCCACACAATGCACCTCCTGCAGAAACGTGTGGGTGTGTGTGCTCCGTCCGGGCACGTGGCTTAGCGTCGATAAGTTTGACATTTGCGCAACGTAAAATGACAACTGCAAACCAAGCCGTATGCAAAATGAAAAAGTTGCCAGCACTGTGCACAGCCCTGACATTTGCATTTGTCTTCCGCAAAAAGCTTTCAAATTAGCGACAGCTTCACATCTCACCCTCTGCTCCTTATACCTGCTCCTGCTCCTGCTCCTGCTCCAGCTCCAGCTCCAGCTTTAGCTGCTCCTCCAGCTTCTGATTTCGTCTTCCTTAAAACAGCGACGCACGTCGCATGCAGCACGCAAAGAAATATGCAAATAATTAGCATCCAAATACAAAATTGTATTAAAAGTCGCCTATATTTTTATACCCTTTTAGAGGGTAATGCAGTCTCAACACGAAAAAGGGCAGATTAACCCATATAAATACATTTTCTATCAAACAGATAGATGGTGTTAATGCAAGAAATATTAATAGAAATACTTTTATTAGTTGCAGCCCTTCTTTACATGATCCAAATAGCGGAAAATTCTTATTTTTTTAAAAAAAAACCTAAGCCTAAGATGGATCGAAATCTTTTTTGTCCCAAACTTTTCATTTCTTGATAAATTTAAGATGTAGCCCTTTTATAGCTGTTATTTATATATATATATATATACTAGCGGGTATAACCCGGCCTTGCCCGTGGCACGTATGTTATAAAATCAATGTTTTCAAAAAGTTTTGAAAATAATTTTGAAACTGACCGGACGGGAATCAAACAACTTTTATGCAAATCGTACAAAACTTAAAATTCACCAAAAAAATCTTTGAAATGCATTTTCCTCGGAAGGAGTTTAGATTTTGCGAAAAATGTGAAACACGTCTCAAATGATTTTTCTTATAGATCTTTGGAAATATATTTGAACACAAAAGTCATCCACCAAATCTTCGACCCCCATTTGCACCAAGGAGGGATGGATTTTTCAAAAAGTGTGAAACACCCCTCAAATGAATTTCAACATAGATCTTTGAAAATGAGTTTGGGGCCGATCGGATGGTAAACAAAAAACTTTCATACAACCGTTTTCCGCCAAATTACCACTGTTGCGGGTGGAATTTCCCAAATCGCTGAAATACGTATTTGTTAAGTTCTTACGTAGAGCTTTGAAAGTAAGTTTGAAGCAAACGTCGTAAAACGTCGCCCAAAAAATCTTTAAATCGCATTCCACCCGAAGAAGTTTGAATTCTACGAAAAGTGTGAAACACGTCTCATATGATTTTTCTTATAGATCTCCGAAAATGAATTTGAGCGCGAAACGTCACCCACCAAATCTTTGACCTCCATTTCCACCAAGGAGGAGCGGATTTTCCTAAAAGTGTGAAACACCCCTCAAATGAATTTGAACAAAGATCTTTGAAAATAAGTTTGAGGCCAATCGGATGGTGAACAAAAAAGTTACATACAAACGTTTTTCGCAATTTTTCCACACTTGCGGGTGGAATTCCCAAAACCCCGTCTTAACGTGCACCTACATCACATAAGGTAACTACAGTGAAAATTTTAGCTTCCTAGCTCTTACGGTTTGGGCTGTGC